TAAAGAATGTGTTCAGATGCAAGGAGGCAACGGTTTGCTGTCAGTAATGAAATTATTTAATCTTATTTACTCTAATATGCCACACGTTAGCAGCATTATTTACAAAAATATTATGTGCTGTGAATCAGGGTTGACATGACTTGGCGTTGTCACGATCCTGGGTCATTTGACCCAGCGTTTCAAGTTTTAGTTTTGTTTTTTTAAATGTTTATGGTTTATGTTTAAGTTCATTAGGTTATCTAAGTTCGTTTGTTTATCAGATTCCCTTGTGTTTTCAACGCCTGTGTTAAGTCTTCCTTGTCCTTTTATGTGTTTCATGTCTGAATGTCTTTTGTTATCAAGTTCATGTAGTCATGTCTGTGTTTCATTATGTTTCCCGTTTTATTTTGAAGAGGTCCTGTGTTCTTAGGTCAAATGTGATTAGTTGTATTCTCCCCTTGTGACTTTGTTATGTTCATTTGTTTCAGCTGTTTCCCTATGTGTTTCCACTTCCCTCATTATCCTCCTGTGTGTATTTAGTCCGTGTGTTTTCAGTCATTCCTTGTCAGGTCGTCTGCTAATCCACGTTGTGTCTCCAGGTATCAACGCCAGTCTTCATGTTTAAGTTTTTTTTTTCCATGTTTTACTTTTAGTTCACCCAGTTTAGGTTTTTGTTTAGTTTCACCCATGCCCTTTGTTTGTATCCATTTTTGCCAGCCTTAATAAACGGCTTGTTTTTGTCCACGCCACGTTTCACATTCTGTTTTGGACTGCAATTGAGTCCTTTTTACAATACATACTCACGTAATGTCACCTCAGCCAGACTGTGACAGGCGTTAAGGCCTACCTGTGCATTTATGCATGTGACTGAACCAATGTGGATCATTAAAATATCACCAGATCACCTGATAAATGGGCATTGGCACTTAGGTCACATGCCCCATAAGCCAGATTCTATGAATCATCAAATGCAGGTGGCATCTTTGCCTGTTGGGGCATCACTGGAAGCTCTAATTTGCATTTGTTCACTCAACTACTTCTGACCCAACCCAGATCTCGGCTGAAGTCCCGGGGTGACCGTGCGTTTGCTCTGGCTGCCCCGGTACTGTGGAATACCCTTCCTCTCGACCTCCGCGCATCTGATTCCATTGCACTGTTCAAATCACGACTAAAAACCCACTTATTCAATCTTGCCTTTCCCTCTAGTTAATATTTCTTTTATGATTTTATTTCATGTACTTTTATGCTCATTTAAATTCTTGTTTGCTCTGTACCTGTTGCTTTCCTATGTATCAGTGACAGCTACCTGCTTGCATACTTAGTACTTGCTTTGGTCCTATTTCTATTATCCTGCTCCTGTTCTCTATGTTACTTGCTAAGCAACTTGGCATACCCTTGGTTTTTAAGTGTGCTTTATAAATAAAGTTTATTATTATTATTATTATTATTATTATTATTATTATTATTATTATTATTATTATTTGTTGGGGAGGAGGCCCCGGGGCAGACCCAGGACAAGCTGGAGAGATTATATCTCTCGGCTGGCCTGGGAACGCCTTGGTGTTCCCCCGGATAAGCTGGAGGAGGTGGCTGGGGAGAGGGAGGTCTGGGCCTCTTTGCTTAGGCTGCTGCCCCCGCGACCCGGCCCCGGACAAAGCGGATGAAGATGGATGGATGGATGGATTATTTGTTGATCTTATTGAGCCAGCTTGTCTGCAGCAACATGTGAAACTGTCGAAACATTACTGTACACCAGAAGCAACTGTTGAAGGCAGCAACACTAGCTCTCTTATGAGAAAGAGCGATAGAAGAGAACACACACAAGGAATAAGCATAGAAGAATCGATTGCAGGAAAACTGAGAAGAAGAAAGGAAGAAGGAGTCAAAGGAGAGGAGCAGATATAAATTAGTCCTGTGACAAAGTGGGAAGGCTGAGCTTTAAAGGAATAAATCTCATTTCATTTTGGCCGGTAGTCACCGAGCTGACTGAACTAGATGAGAGGGCTGATTTAAGGAGGCATAACCTCAGTACCCTTGGGGGACCTTCACTTACAAGAACATTCACTTAGATCTGTTTTAGTTTGCTCTTCGTGAATGAGCCCAATCTCAGCTAGCATAAAAGCCACATGGGGTGTAAATGACAGGCTGAGTCAAAAATATGGAATTGCAAAGGAAATACAAGAGGATAAAACTTATTATCACCATTATTGTGATAAATCTCCTTTCCTGTTACAGTTTGTCAGTGAAATAAACTAAATATGTTTTTTTAAAACCAAAAAATAAGAAACGAGAGAACTAAAGTGCTGCTGCTGAGGTTGGACGTGCCTTTGCATAAATATGCACACATACACAACAGGTTTTAAAATGAGGACAGTGCTCTGTGGGAAACATCTACAGGCTTCTCCACCACAGTACCCACACCAAACACCTAAACTTTCTTTATGCCTTCAACAAATTTCACTTAAAGTATAGATTTGAGTAGGGCTGCCACAAATGATTATTTTGATAGTCGACTAGTCACCGATTATTTTTGCGATTAGTCGACTAATCAGATCATGCATCCATTGGACGTAAAACGTACAGCTTATTGCACCAGCACGCATCTGCTCTTATATAACTATCATTAGCTTACAGCTTTAAGTGTTTAAGGTATGTACTAACTAAAAATAAAGACAAGATGATAGTTTATTAAATTTTGATGAAATTTGCAGATTGTTTCGGTGAAGTTTAATAAACTCCTTGCTATCTAAAATATAACGGGACACCGGAGTATATTCTCGAGCATCTCGCAGTTCTGATAATCAGTTGTCTGCTTGACGTTTATTCAGCTGTGTAAAAACTACAACTTTAATCTCAGCCAAACCGATTTACTCAGGAACAAATAAAATACTAAAAAAAGCCAAACAATAACATTTTTAAGTTATCTAAGTGACTTATATGTGTTTAACCTGAGTAGCGAAAGACGGCGGTGGGTTTGAAAACGATTTGCCGGGAGTCCGGTGTTCTCACGGGCTCTAGTGAGCCTTGCCCCCGGCTAGCTATCGAGCTAGTGGGTAACAGACTTCTCTGAAAATGTAGGAGCGCTTTTGAAAATGTGTGGTGTCTTGATAAACTGAGCAGATATTTGAGGTTTACACAGATGCATTCTCGCCTGAAAATATGTTAAACGTTTATTTTGTGACCCAGAAAGTATAATAAGAGTAATATTAAAACTAACTAGCTGCCGCCATTGTTGGAAACTGAGCAGGGCTGCGCTATGAATTCTGGGACAGAGCTACTTCTTCTTCGGGGTTTAACGGCAGCTGGCATCCTTGTACATGCAGTGCTGCCATCTTCTGTTTCAGTCCGTTATTACAATCTTAAATTATACTACTTATTCCTGCGTCTTTTGGGATCTTACAAAGCTTCAAACGACACGTCGACTATTAAATCAGTCATCGACGATTTTGATAGTCGACGTAATCGTGACTAGTCGACCAATCGTGGCAGCCCTAGATTTGAGAGCTCAAAGCACTGGAACTTGACCCATTTGCTAGTCCACTGAATTAGCCTCAGGGAGGAGGACCAATTTTTGGGAGCTTCTGGTGCAGTCAGGTCAGGTTTCCAGTTCACACATTCATTTTTATGAAGCCAGATACATTTTTTTAAATGCTACTAGAAGCCTATATGGTTGTCAGGTGATAGCTATAGTAATCACAGCCATACCTTTTTAGATGTAATTTGTAACGGCCGCCATTTTCTTTGTGAGTATTTATTGCATTGCGTGCTGCGGGGGAAAGCCTGTTCTAATGTTTGAGTCTATTTTTTAGCACCTGACCATCCCTTTTTGCTTCTCATCCGTAAACTCTCTCCATACTCGTTCATGTGATTCTTGCGTAGGTGGTTGAAGAGGTTTGTCGTGTTTGAGTCTGTGGTAGGGACCTGTTTACGGCATAATTTGCATAGTACAGTTTTCTGGTCCGTGTCAGACTTTTTCATAACCAAACCCTGTCCATGCTACAGCAGTAGCCCCTCCTTTAGGAATAAGGTCCTGGATTTGTTTTGACTGGTCCTTCTGTTTGGAGCTACCTGGTTCTGCCTCATCTTCACTGGCCATGCTGGTATTCTCTGTGCATGCATCCATGTGGTGACTGTAAGCACCATTTATAGCTACTTCATGTTTTTATTTGAGGTAATTTGTTTGATGCATATTCTGAAATTTGATGTTTGAGAATGATGTATATAATTTCAGTTTATTTTGAAAAGTCTCAACAGGATCTTGAGCTTTAATATGAAAGGTTTATGTGGGAAAATAAACAGAATAAGCAGATGGCGGAGTCACACGATTGTTTTTGCTAACGAAAGTACGCATAGAAACAGTCATCTGTCTGTCCATAGTGTGGTTATTTTAAATCTAAGCGCAAGAGAGAACTTTAAGAAATTAATATAGCCACTACAGTGACCATCAAAACGATGAAAAAATATTGCCATAAACAGTTTATTTTGCGACACCACGAGACAAACAATAGCGTAATAAGAAAACGATAGATGTTTTCATATTGGCATCCAATATATATTGTCCTATTGAACAACCCTACTTCTGCTGCAGCGGCATCCCACAGTGGAGAATCAAGCGTGACTCCCCAAGAAGACTTAGCTTGAGCAAGTTGAAGACGATCTTAAATGACGACGTCTAACCCTTGAGTAAGCAAAGGTCAAGGCCACAGATCACAAGGCCTGGAAGTGCATCGTTGACCAAGATGGAAACCCTACAACACCCACGGCAATGTATTGGCTTCATGCACGACCTCTCCTGCTGACTGCCAGCTAGGGACAAAAGATCTCTCCTTTACTTTCTACATGGACTATCTACATGCAGCCATGTGATCGAACATAACTGGTCAAACTACAAGCCGATTCAAAGAGAAACCAGAAAGCCTTCATGTTTATATGCACATATGTGTTTGTACAGCATCTTAAACAGAAAATATCTCCAACTCTAATGTATTCTCAGGAAAAGCATTTAGGACTGCAGTACTTACCACCTAGAGCTTGCTTCATTACAAAATCCATGATTCCTGCTGATTAGTACAGATGTTCTTCTTCAAGCTGGAGACAACTGAGCATTCAGCCACCAAGCCCGGGATCTGTGAGTGTCTCAGTTCTTCCCCCTTCCTCTGTGATGCCGAGCGTCTTCAGCAACTCTCTGCTGGACACAAGAGATTGAAAAAAGAAGCAATTAAACAAACCATACAGCTGTAAAACAGTAAACTGTTTTCCTCACATAGAAAAACACACCAGTGATTTGATTTAAATTTAAGCTTTTGCAGCTGTAAACAATCATATTTCCTCCTTTGTAGAAAGTGCATGATTACATCTCCAAACACGGTGAAAGATCCGCAACACGCCTGGCATCAGGGAGCATGAGACAGCATTTCCTTCTGAGTTTAAAACAACACATAATGGGATCTTTTTAACACTCTTTACCCCGTGACAGATATCCCTTCCTGGGAAGATCGTAGATCAATACTGAGCCCTTTTGCTCTGAGTCACTTATCCGACTGTAACTGAATACCAGAGCAGTCAATAAGTGGTCATACATATTTAATGGAAAAGTGAAAGAAATGCAGTTGTTTTCTATTTAGATTGACCTGAAACATATGAAAAATACTAAACATGTATGAGAAAATCAGGCTGTGCTCACTCATACAGCATCAACATAAAAACACACACTACATTCATGAGAATGAAAAATCCTGTCTACATCAAAAGTCTATATCTAATTAATATTGCATACACTATGCTAATCTCACTGTCTCACTTTCAGAAGCGACTTCGTGTATTTCAACCCAGCTGGTAATAAAATCACTTTTGCATAAATTTCATCTTTAGCTAAATCTGATTTACTCAGCTTCAGTAAAGCTGCAGGTTTGACTGTGATTCAGTGACTGCAGTGCACACTTTTGTGTCTGTAATCAGAATTATTATTTAAACTGATTCTCAGAATAAATCGATCAGGTGGAATTACCAGCTGAGACATCGACTGTGCAGTAAAAAACTGTCGTATCATCTGTACAGAGACTGCAGATGAAAAATGTGAGCATGTAATGATTATTGCTGCTTTTCTGGTGTACTGATGGAACAAACTGTCATAAGATCTGATACTTGAAGATAAAATGCTGAAAATATGGCTGCATGTACAGGTCCTATTAAAGAGGTAATGTATGGATTTAACCGGTGCAAGAAAATAAAAATCCAGAATGTAAATAATGCAAGAGTGAATATGCATCTCGAAGAAGAAGCTCAGAAAAATTTAGCTAGCTGTAATATCAAATCCAGGAATTTGGATGACATTGGTACCAACTAGGGCTGCCAAGATTAGTCGACTAGTCACGATTACGATTTAAAGTTATAGTTTTTACACAGCTGAATAAACGTCAAGCAGACAACTGATTATCAGAAATGTGCGATGCTCGAGAATATACTCCGGTGTCCTGTTATATTTTAGATAGCAAGGAGTTTATTAAACTTCACCAAAACAATCTGCTAATTTCATTAAAATTTAACAAACTATCATCTTGTCTTTATTTTTAGTTAGTACATACCTTAAACACTTAAAGCTGTAAGCTAATGATAGTTATATAAGAGCAGATGCATGCTGGTGCAATAAGCTGTACGTTTTACGTCCAATGGATGCATGATCTGATTAGTCGACTAATCGCAAAAATAATCGGTGACTAGTCGACTATCAAAATAATCGTTTGTGGCAGCCCTAGTACCAACTACTATATTTTCCATCCATCCATCCATCTTCTTCCGCTTATCAGGGGCCGGGTTGTGGGGGCAGCAGCCTAAGCAGAGACGCCCAGACCTCCCTCTCCCCGGCCACCTGCTCCAGCTTTTCCGTGGGAACCCCAATGCATTCCCAGACCACCTGAGAGATATAATATCTCCAGCGTGTCCGGGTACTTAAACTCTTCCACTTGGGGCAGGAACTCATCCCTGACCTGGAGTGGGCAGTCCACCCTTTTCCAGCTGAGGACCATGGCTTCAGATTTGGAGATGCTGATTCTCACACTCAGCTGTGAACAATTCCAGTGCAAGCTGGAGGCCATGACCCGATGAAGCCAACAGAACCACATCATCTGCGTAAAGCAGAGATGAGATTCAGAGACCACCCAAGTGAAAGCCAAATTGGCTACACCTAGAAATTCTGTCCATATAAATTACGAACAAAATCCGTGACAAAGGGCAGTCCTGGCAGAGTCCATCACCCACCGGGAACGAGTCTGACTTATTGTTGGCTTTGCAGACCAAGCTCTTGCAATGGTTGTATAAGGATCGAATGGCCGGTAGCGATATTCCCGAAGCACCTCCCACAGGACACTCCGAGGGACACAGTCGAATGCCAAATCTACTATATTTTTTTAAAGTAAAACATCTAATTTATTATGGTGACATTAAACTGGCCAACATGACACTCACCGTGCATGTTCTTCAAATAGTTGACACTAAGGAGATGAGTGATAAAACTATGGTAACAGTTTGTTAGCATTGACAACGCTAGCAGTGCAGATTTTCTTCCCATCTGAAGAAAACATGCACAATATGTGCTGTGCAAAGTTTGGATTTTAAGTTTTCTTTTTTCTTTGTTGGCTTCTTGGTCATTAGACAAATTGCAGCCTGAATGCTCATTGGCCCATTCTGAATACAGTGCCCCATCCTGTGCTGCTGTATAAACTCACTTGTATCTATTTGATTAACTGTGCAAGTGGCAGCCAAGATGAAATCCTCCACATTTATTGCACCTGGCGAACCAGAACAGCATTTCCATTTTGAAGCAGATCTCTCCTGCTCTCCTCGCTGAACACTCGTGGCATCATTTTGATACGACAGTATTTGCCAGGGCTGAATGGTGCCGGGATGAAATAGGAAGGGACGGCAGATTGAGCTGCACAGCTTATTCTGGGAGGTGACACGGGAGACGAGGCCGAGTGGGATGGCAATCCATTTGTAACTGTGACCGAACGCCTCGAGGGGTGAAGTACCTCATTTCAATACACACACATTCAGAAATTCAAAATCGGCATGCTCACCCACACGCAAGATTTGATTAAAAAGACTGCAAATGTATGCTGATAGACAATAGAAGAAATGTCAGACTGTTAACCTGGTGAGGAGAGTAAGTGTTTCTGCATGAATGTGTGCGTGCTTACGGAGAGGTGCATGCAGAAATATGTGACTATCATTTGAGTTTAACTGGAATCACATGTATTTTGTCATGTTTCTCAGGTCTGTCTGAATTTCTACGAACATTATTGCTAAGGATTGTCTTATTGCATTGGAGTCACACTGGGTTAAATATGTACACTTGGGTTTTAAGGGGTATTTATTATTTTCTTCTTTTTTTGGGTTGTATGGAAGCCCCAAACGCAATTTCATTGTTCTTGACAATGACAATAAATAAATAAATACTAAATACTAAAGAACTCTGAACAGCTGTGTATGTGTGAGTAAAGTCTCTTTAGTCATAAGCTGTTGGCTTTTCCAGTTTCCAGCCTCAGTCCAGTGACATGTAACTGGCTGGACCTTTGCAGCCTGTTGTTTACATGTTGTAGCTGTGTACTGACACCAGGGGGCAGTGTCAGAAATACGCTGACCAGCTGGTCTGGTCTGGCTCATGTTTTTGCTGTTGTCAGACCTTTAGCTTAGCCGCTCCTACAGGTATGACCAAAGTCGTAAAAGAGGAAGAATGAGTGTTTTAGCGAACTGAACGTGAAGATTATAAACAAAGAAAACACGCCATTGCAGCCCACTTGGGCTTGTAATCACATTTTTTTGATCTTTAATTTATTTTTGTGCTTCTTTCTGCTCCTAAATGCTGCAGTTGCTCCTTCTCTATTGAAGCCCACTTTTCAACCACACCATGTGCGTGTTGCATTCTTAAAATCCATCACAAATGCACCACAAACTGCACTTTGTGATAATTAGTCATTCTAAGCTGGCTGTGTAGGTGTTGCCTCAGCGTCTGGTGCCGTCCAAGCTGACTTCTTACAGACCTGACTAGCTAAATCAAACAGGTCACTTTGGTTCAGTTGGAGGTGAAAGTGGGTTTTTTTCCTTCTGTCTTGAGTACTTTTTTGGTCACTGTCTCAACAAGACGGCAGCTGTCGTGGTAAATGTCCCGGCTGCTTTAAGAAGGTCAGAGGTTACAGTCCTTACAGTCACCTGCAGTTCAACTATTAGATATTAAACTCATTCTTTTAACCACTGAGGAAGAGAAACAAATATATACCTGTGGCCTTTTGGATGAATGGACTGCATTCATACAGCTGCACAGCTCTAGTCTTCCAAACCACTCAAAGTGCTTTATACTACAACCACATTTACTCACACACACACTTTTATTATAGCAATAAATATACAATTTAACTATCACGCACAGTTTATGGGCTTCTGATAGCGAGCGAGCCTCTGTGTCCTTCAACAGAACAATGAACACTGGAAACAGACGCCACACACACAAGGAGAGGATTCTTTCTTATTATGCTGCTTTCCTGAAACTTCTATATGTGTGCATGTGCTTTTCTAATACCACTGTGGCCAACTTTCTGTTGCATGAATAACACAGCATGTAGTTCCTGCAGTACGTAATTTGGGTTATTTTGAACTGTGAATCATCCAAAGCTACTGTAGTGGAGTCCAAGAATAAAAATCTAGTGCTGGAAATGAGCAGAACAGGTCCACACTTAGCTAAATGTCACATAACTGGTGCCTTGGGCTTTATTATACACAACAATAAGTGAATATTAACGATCAGCAGTGATGTAAGGTGTAAAGTTACTACAAAACTAGCACACAGGAGCGCCGATGGCAAATAATAAACGAAGAAGTTTTTGTTGTCATATTGCAGTTTTTTTTATGTTAGATTTTGTGTATTTTATTGTATTTTGTATTTTTTTGTTATGTATTTTCATAACAAGGATGAAAAGAAGTTCCACAACACTTTATGTATCTGCTATCGGGGGGAAGACGGTGGGTGTGTGGCTGCTGTGTGTTTGTGCGTAGCGTAATCGGCTGCTGACATTCATTGCTGTAATGTATAAAGATACAGGAACCCATCTGAGCCCACGCATCCCTAACAGGACGGGCCATGTGTCCGTGTTTAATACGATCCCAGCTGGTCAGGTGTGGCATGTTTCTGTGATA